GGCGGTTTGCCAGCACTTTGGTAGCAGTCGGTAGTCCGAGCAAAGCAGGGTGATAGGACGGTAGTTGCCAGGGAGTTTGGGGTCGCCTTTTTTGTAGATCACCGTCAGTACCCCCTCCAAGAAGCCCTTCGGCACCTGCCCCGTCAAGCCTATGGCGGTGAGCAGGCCAGCCATGGTGGTGCCAATGGCCGACCAGAATTTCCTGTAGATGTCAGCTGGGATGCCGTCCCACCCCGGGGCCTTGCCAGGCTGGCTTTTCTTAAGAGCCTTTCGTAACTCGGTGGCCGTGATGGTTCTGGATCCCAGCTGTTCATCTGCCTCTGCGGGTAGCGAGATGTTGGCGGCCGCCAGGGATTTTAGCACCTCCTGCTGGGCTTGGGGGCAGATGTAGTTGGGAGCTCGGCTCACTTCACTCCAGAAGTCTGCGACCACCTGGGGAAGCTGGCTAGGATTAGTCACTAGGCGGCCGGACTGGGCTTGCAGGGCGACGGGAGCTGGTTGTTGGTCCGTGCTTTGGGACTGGATGAACGCAGTCATGGCTGGGCTCGGCCGCTCCCCTGCCCGTAGCCAGTGTATGCGGGCCTCCATCGCCTCCTTGCTGCAGTCCTCTCGGTGGGCCCGTGCTAGTGCCGCCTGTGCGTCCACCAGTTGCTGTAAGGGCTGCTGTGCTCCGGGATCTGTGTCGACCCTTTGTCGGGCCTGCTGGACTGCTGGAAGGGCTGCTTGTACACGGGCTCCTGGGCGCAGCCTGCGATGTTGTGCTGTTTTGTTGAGCTGATGTGCACGAGTAGCGAGGCGGCGTTTGAAGGCAGGCCACCACTCGATCAGGCCAGCAGGATTGTCCTCCACAGATGGGGCCGCGGCACACTGGTCGGTAATCCAGGCCTCCAGGCTCGTGGCCAGGTCTTCATGCGCCGTGAAGGCCATGCGCACCCGGCGAATGCCCGGGCCCCGCTGTTCAACCCGGCGAGGCAGCAGGTGTAGGACCATCGGCTGGTGATCTGACGGGGTGTGCTGGATAATCTCCGTGCGAGCAACATACGGCATCACGGCTTGATTCACATAAATGCGATCCAGTCGGGAGCCTCCTGGGCGGGGCGCTCGGTAGAGGTGGGTGTAGTCATGGCGCAGGGGATGAAGCTGACGGTGACTATCCATCATGGCTGGCCCAGCTGTGCGGAGCATTTCTGCTATGGGGCCATCTCCCCTCCGCCCATCCTCCCCCGCTGTGGAGTCCAGCGCTGGGTTTTCGACAAAGTTGAAGTCCCCCGCCCATATAAGGGTGGTGTCATTGTTTGTATCTGCCTGCGTGGCCGTTGCTGCCAGGATGTTGCTGATCAGTTCTTGCCTGAGGGCTGCTGCTCTATGAGTAGTGCCGGTGGGGACATAGATGTTGCAGACCTCAATGCAGTGTCCTCCCCAGCGAAGCAGGCAGCTCGTCAGCCGACCCTGTACACTCGGCTTATTAGGCTTGGTCTCCACGGTAGCTGTTAGGCCTTGTCGGACGAGGGTAAGGACGCCCCCCGTGTGGATGGAGTTAGACCACGAGCTGGCCACTACTCGCCAGCCCCGGCTGTGGGCTGTTGCAGCTGCCATGCTTAGCTCGCGTTCAAACAGGGATTGGTGGTGGGCATTGGTGTGGTGGGTTTCCTGCAGGCAGATCACATCCAGCCCCATCTCTATCCACTGTTTGGCCGCTGCATGAATCTTGTCCTTGTGTTTGGCCAGCAGACCCTGCATGTTCTGTGTTGCAATACGAAGTGGCCGTCCCTGCATTGCGCCCTGTTGGCGCTTGATTGTGGTCGTCGCTTCCATCAACAGAGTTGGGTGGGGGTGGCAGTGGGCTGGTCTTTAACACCAGGTTGGGAGGCGGTGGGGAGGTGTTGTACTAGGCTCTGGGATGGGGAGCCCATCGATTCAGCCTCCATAATCGTGTCGTCCCCCTCCACAGCAGCAGTCCCCAGCTCCCTCCCCGAGGCCTGGGTCCCCTGGGTGCCTTCGGCATCTTTCGCCTTCTGCTTTCGGGTAGACTGGATGAGTTCGCTGCGCCTCTCCGCTGCCGACGTTTTATGGATCAGCCGCTTCTGGTCCTTAGTTCGCTGGGCCAGTTCTGCGGATTGTTTGCGGGCTGCTCGGGCTGCAGCTGTTTGCGCCAGAAAGAACGTGCGCCTGGCTTCCCCCGTTAGGTCTGGCCTGCGGATTTTCTTTATTCCTTGGGTCTGGCGGGGCTTGCATGCTTTCCCCTTGTGGAGGTCCGGTGCCGCTGAGGGTGGGGTTAGGTCCAGTGCTACTGCTTCTGGTGCCCCCGGCAGTGCTGCTGTCGCCGGCGCTCCTTCCACGGCCGTGGCCGTGGGTGCGGATGAAATCCCATTGGGGTTCACTGTGGGGGGTGGGATTGGGTCCAGTGCCGCTGCTTCTGGTGCCCCCGGCAGTGCTGCTGCCGCCGGCGCTCCTTCCACGGCCATGGCCGTGGGTGTGGATGAAACCCCATTGGGGTTCGCTGCGGGGGATGTTCTTGCTGCTGCTGGATCCCCCGGTTGTTGTGTGGCCTTTGGTGTATTCCCCCCCATTGGAGCAGGAACATCTGTGGGGGCGTCCTCCTCTCCCCTCAGCTCCGCCAGCACCAAAAAGGGGTTGGTCTCTGCTGGTGCAGCCTTTGCAGCCGTCGCCGGGGTCTTCCTCCCCTTCCTGCCCATCACTGTCCAGCTCGTCTCAGCATCACCTTCACTACTGCCCTGGGGTGGGATAGAGGGGCCACTGCCGCTGTTGTCCCCCTTGCCCCCCCTCACTCCATTCAGCCCGCTGCCATCATCCACCGTCCTTCTGGGCTTGGGGCCGCTGGGGGGTCCCAGAGGGTTAACTCCTGCAGGCCCCCCCTCTGCTGCGCCAGAGCAGTGACCCCTGTCTCTCTGGATGGCATCGAAATCCATCGGGCTCAAGAATCTGGTCAGTCGCCCCTGTACTCCCGTCACCTGCCCACTGTGGCCTGGGCGGGTGCTTGTTGCCGCCCCGTCTCCCCTTTGCTGCTGGGCGAGTGCTGCTCGCGGGGGTGGCTGGGGCATCAGGAAAGGTTCCCCTTCCAGAGGGGTCTTCCTAATCGCTTGAAGGGTGCCCTTCTGGTGGCACGCCTCCGATGGCTCCCCGTATTCAAACGGGAGTTCTCGCGGAAGGCCGCGATTGCTGGTAAGCTCCAGCCTCCACGTGTCGGCCATCGTCGTGGGGGCCAGGAGCGAGAATTCTGTCACGTCCTGGGGACTGGGGTCTGCCCGGTCTGCCCGGGTGAGGAAGTCGGCCGTGCCCTGACAGCTGAGGCCGACCGGGACGCCTCTCACCTCCCACACAATGGGCTTAGCCTGTTGCTGGTTCTTCACCAGCAGCTCCACTTCCATCGGCTCCATGTTCGGGGTCAATTGCACCCCAGGTACGCGCAATCGCCCGTTAACGATGCGCCTGGCCGCTGTCAACGCTGCTAAACCTCCTTTTGGCACAAGGATGGAGAGTTCCATCACAATGTGCCGTTCCCTTCCCATCGGATAAAGCAACCGTTTTTGAATGCGCGGGCCTCCCCAACGGTTGAACTCCTGGTTGCTGCGGAAGATTTGGCCAATTGTTGCCAGAATTTGAAGTCCTAATGGACCGTATATTTGCGCGATGATGTCGCCCGTATCTGAGCCCGCTGGCCACCGGACTGTCACCACGATCGATTCCAGTTCTAGTGTGGCTCTGTAGATAGCCAAGCCTTCATTTGTTCCGTAAAAGCCACTGACGGCCTTTATCTTTTTGGTCGGTATGGATTGCGGTCTCGCGGCTGAGGTCGGCTGGCGGCCATTTTGAACATTGCCGCGGCTAACAGCCACTGCTGGTCGCCTCTGCGACATTTTCAGGCTAATTAGATAACCATAACTACGCTCAAACAATTGAGGTCGCTGTCGGTGGCCACGGCCGCGGTTGGCCGACGGTCATAGTAGCAGCTTAGTCAAGCTATGGTCTCATCCATGTATGTATGTATGTATGTATGTATGTATGTATGTATGTATGTATGTATGTATGTATGTATGTATGTATGTATGTATGTATGTATGTATGTATGTATGTATGTATGTATGTATGTATGTATGTATGTATGTATGTATGTATGACTTAGATTACACTGTGGGCTGCGAGAGCCGGGGGCCGAAGCCGAAACACAGCGCAAGGGTCGGGAGAAACGACGCGCCTGCACCGGGATGTATGTATGTATGTATGTATGTATGTGTTTAAGACATGACCTAGGTCGAAGCCCGCATGTCGTAAACGTTGCATGATGCTTTTCTGGGGCCCCCAATCCGCAGCTATGTGGTGGAGAACAACCGCACCGCCTTCGAAAACATCACCGAGGCCAACATCATGTCGTACTACCTGCCCTTGTCCACATTTCTCCGGGGAGGACACCAAAATTGCGATGTGTACGTTATTGGGTCGTACGACGAAAGCTTTAACGACCCTGACGTCCAGGAATTTATCGCCAGTTTCGTCGCCATGGGCAAGGGCATCATCGTGGTGGGCCCCGATCTCATGCCCAGCAGATTCTACGCGCCGGATACTCCTGCCGTACCTGCCGTACCGAAGCCGCCGGCAGCGCAGGGGGCCGCACAGCCGCAAACACAACCAGATAACAGTGGCCATATGGGCGGTGGGGCATGGGGGAGGCGATCACTAATTGGCCGTTATGACGGCTCTACGAGCAACCTGCTGGGCGCGGGAGCCCCGACCAAGGAGACGACTAAGCAAATGTGGGAGGCGGAAGGCGCCGATGCCGTTGGAAGTGGCTACGTGATTGTACGGCGGTCGTTGCAGACGGGTACCACTAACCTGGCGGTGGGTCGGGTAGCCGCAAGTTCTTATATGAAAGTGTAATGGGTACCGTTTGGATTGGGGATTTTGCGGCCGGTGAAGCCGGTGGGGGGCGCCGTACAGCTGCACGAATGTACGATTGTGTGAAGCTGGGGAACCCGAGGCGCCGCTACAGCCTGGCCGTCCCTGCTACCTCTCTTACCCCCCCGGGGTTTGGGGGCACCCGGATCCTTTTCATCGCCCATGAGTGCCGACTGCTGTGCGAAGTCATATTCGGAGTCAGGACCAGCACCAGCACCAGCACCTCCAAGTGGAATCTATACCCCCAGATCAACGGCGTCATCAACTCCATTTCTGGTCGGCTGCCGGGTGTAGGGTTGTATTATGGGTGTGTAGATTATGTCGGTTACAGAGCAGCCGGTGCCTGTGTGTTGCTTCCTCTCCCTCATACCCTCCCCCCTCCCCCCTTGCCATCTCCCCAGGACTGCCAAAATCCCCATGCAAAAGCCCGACGAGCTCGCTTGCCGCCTTCTCCTCCCGGGCCTCCTCCTGACATTTTTTACCCTCCCGTCATTTCAACCTGTGCCCCACCCGCACAGGTAAACACCCTCGCCGCAAAACTACAGTTTGCCATCTCCAACATTATCAACGACCCAGGCGGCAAACTTTTGCTGTCGGGTTCGCCAGCTGGAAACGGCCTTGTAGCCGCCCAGATTTATCTCTCCTATCTGCTGGGCCAGAGGAACCTAACGTACAACGAACGAACCGATATTCGCGAGACAGTTAGCCAGGTTAAGCTATCCATTCCCGCTGGCACCACCACAGCGGACAATTTGCTTCAATTGCTGTCTGATATTGAGGCAGAAGAGAAGAAGTGGCCAATGTTTCCACCGTTTATACGCCTGAAGCCGCCGTCGCCGCCGCCACAGTACTTTTCACCGCCGCCGAGGGCGCCGCCTCTGTACATATCGCCGCCGCCGGCGCCTGGTGAGTTTCATCATGCCTGGTGCCTCATGCGTCGAGCGTGTGTAGCGTGTTTACGGGTGTTCGATACGTGTACGCTTGTGGTGTGTGTATGCCTGCATTACGCCTCATTGCGTTTGTATGTATGTATGTATGTATGTATGATGTGTGAAACAGGGGGGTGTATCTTCGCCCGTGGCAGCTACCCTGCGAAACCCTGCCTTCCCCGGTATTTCGGGGCACCCTCATCCAGTCACCCTAGTCAACTTCTCAGTGGATCGCTCAGGTTCCGCACCCACCACCAGCATCCAACGGAATCTGCCGGGTCGACAGCGGCCCAACTCCGTTCCTGGTCGGCTCGCAGGTTAACTTTATCCCAGGTCACCACCGTCCATCAACTAGGGGCGCAATGCCTTCCACCATCGGAAGGACTTTGACCCTAACGGGTATCGATCCCGTATGTATGTATGTATGTATGTATGTATGTATGTATGTATGTATGTATGTAAGTGTATGTATGTCTTGTGTGATTCAATGTCTTTATCCAATTGTTCTAATTAATTTGGTATTTGCTCATGATTTGGTATCTCGGAAAGCAACAGGGGTCCCTTTCATGCATACGTACATACAGTCTTGTTGTCGCTGCCCAGCTCCCGAAGGAGAGCCACACATGTACACATCATATCATACACAAACATACAAACAGGCACGCACGCCCTTGCTCTCCCGCCCAAAATCCGCCCATTGCTCCCGACTACCTCGCCCGGGCACGTGTACGATTATTACATGTACGACGAAAAAGCCTTTTTAGGCAGTTCCTGCGGCCCCCGGGGCTCGTGACAGTGAGACGTTTCTCTTCCTCCCCTCAAATTCTCTTAGGGGTTTCCCCTTCCCTCCTCCCCCTCTCAGTTTAATGAACCCTTCCCGCACCCGCTGACCACATCCCCTGCTTGCAGCCAACCTACCTCCCAACGTATCCTACATTGGCTGCTATTGCGAATTTCGGGATAATCGCAAAATAGGCATTCCGCTGGTGTCGAGTCGCCCTGGACTTACCGTCAACATGTGAGTCCTGCTAAGGATACGGCGGAGGGGAAGGAGAATTTCGTTTTGAGTTTTGAGTATTTCAGGGCTTCGTTTTTTGTGCTTTTTGAAACTTGATTGCTTTTTCTTTTTTTCTCACGGTGCATCAGGTAGCCGCAGTCATTTTTCGTGTTCTTCACCTTTTGGGATCCCTTCGACCTCGTCGGTTCAGTAATGATAATGTTCTTCCCAGCTCGTTACTCGTTACTAAGAAGTCACTGTTAACTGCTTAACTGCCCTGCTTAAGTCAACAACGCGCGCGGCGGCCCTGTCCCGCATACAGGTGCTGGAACGTGTCCACATCCGCGCCCAACAACGCCAAGGCCGGCTACCTCCTTGGCTTGCAGCTCACCAACTGTTATGGCACCCCGCTGCCGCCCGCGGGCATCCTATCCTCAAGATTGCCGGACATAGCTTGCGATAAGACCTGTAAAAACCAACCAGGACAGGCCTGCGGCGGCTTCGGAATTCCCGGCCTGCTGCCGGAAGGTGCCGACCCCATCTCCGTGTACATGCTGGTATAGCGCTAATGGGCAATTATGTTTCTACACCCGGTACTTGTATTTGTTATAAAGGAAAATAAAATTGCAAGTACATTTGGATTCAGATTTATAGAAGATCAGGAGCATGTAAGGATGGATCCTGCTGATGACTTTTGATGTAAGCGGAACCTTGAAGAATGGTGCGGTAGAAGATATTTGTGAGTACTTGTAGGCATATGCAAATTATTCATATTGGGTCGGATCGGTTTTGTTTCTTCCCGCGCGAAACCATCTGATCGAGACGCAACACACGAATGATATTTTTCTTTTCATGGTTGCGTGGCCCGATGGAGACTTAGTCAAGCATGAGGTTTCCTGTTGATCATCGTGGGAGGCGGGCCATGAGCTCTGTCTGAATTGGTTTAGACTTCGTCTTGGACTTCCTTAGACTTCCTATCGACCTGTCTCAGAAGACTTGTCTTCCCTCGCTGTACATGCAAGAAGCGCAGCTGCTGAGACAACTCCATATCCTCTACGGAATATAGCAGGTACAGAGCAGAAGGCAGGTGAGCAGGTGAGCAGGTGCATACACCGGAGGCCGCTCATTGCATCCCTGCCTGAACCCCCTCCTCATCTACCGCCAACAGGCGATACCTCAAATACGACTTGTTAACTGCGTGTTATTTCATGCCACGGCATACGCACATGCATATATGTAAGTGTGTGCCGAAACTTAAACTTCGTTGCAGTATTGTGCGTGCGTGCGTGCGTACAGTTTTAATCGACTGTGAGTGTTGGGCATTTTGACGGTGTTGGGCATTTCGACGTTTCGCAAAGCGCCATATGACCTCTAGCACGCATTTAGACATCTAAAAAATATTTCTTTCGTTACTTGTAACATAACTAACGTTTGTGCTTCAGTCCAGGATTGATGGAACGCCTCCCAGATCTCCACAAAACACCCACCACACTTGCAGCCGATGCACAATAGTGAACTATTTGATGATTGTAAAATTATGGTCCCATACGTTACGGGGGTAAACCTCACCCTCATCCATTCGCCGGCCAGGGCAGTCCGTTCGCGGCTACGCGCATTAAGCGATTTTTGCGTGGCTGCGCTAAGGTAGTGGCACGGCACACAGCAGCTATACTCCCGCTGCGTGCCCTTTGACCACTGGTATTGTCGCTGGGACTGTGCAGCTACGGCACGGACGATTAGATCCCCCAAGCGCAGCGGCCAGTCGTTGCGGCTGGTGCGAGGGATATAGCGATGGCGTTGGCTGACATCGAGAGCTTCATTGAACGGGTGCAGCCAGAGTGCTATCCTGCAATTTCGTGGAGCTTTCCATCCGTGACCTTGGAGGGTCACACGTGTCAGGCCCCAACAGTCTAGGACGGTGCACCGCCTCTTCTAGGCGGATGGGCAGTCAGGGCAGCCGTCCACAACTGCGAGTCCTCCAAACGAATAGACTGGCGAAAAGCGACTGCAAATGCCGTATCCCGGCCTAACAAACAAAAGAGTGAGGTTGTCGCATCCTTAAGGCCACGTATAATATTCAACGTCTTTTGGCACACTAAGCGTCTTTTGGTTTTGCGCTATTAGAAACAGTGCGATATTAGAAACGCCAAAAAACGTAAGACGCGAAATGCGGGGAAGACGGGAAGTAGGGAGAAATGCATTAAGTAAAAAATTGGCTTCGCGGCTGTATCCAGTTCTTGTGACTGGGGATGTCTCAGAGGACGCCCGATGTGGGGCTCGAACCCACGACCACAAGGTTAAGAGCCTTGCGCTCTACCGACTGAGCTAACCGGGCCGCAAAGCGATGTACATAAGGAAAGAATTAAAGATCATAACCAAAGGGCAAGAATAAATGCCGATCGTAACAGGCAGCTTTTGCATCCGGGCCATGACGGATATTTTCGTATACTATTCAAAACTTTTCAAATTATCAACACGATAGGTGCATCGGTTACTACAGTAAGGCTACACAGCTATCCACTTGCGCAGAATATTAAGGTAATAAGGTATTACGGTTTAAGGTATACAAGGTCTATTATAGGGTATAAAAGGCATTTCATCGCTTGTTGAGTGCCATGGACTTCTTTCGGTTGCCAGCAATCATTTACTGGTACAGGTGCTCACCGGCGGGCGGACTGTAAATCGCGGACTGTGCCTTCCTCGGTCCGCTTCTTTCTCCCTCTGCCACTCCAAGCAGAAGCGTGCTGCTCTGGCCAAACTCCATATTGCGCTGGCGGCCCCTCACGAACTGGACAACACACGGATCCCCAAAAGGAGCAGACAGGGTTGGAAGATTGCGTAGGACTTCCTGAGGCCTCTTGAGGGCAGTAAGCCCTGCATTAGAAAGACCTTCGCCGGGGTTATAGGAGCCACCTCTGGTCATATGTGCTGGAACTTACACGTCCCTTAGCAGGTCGGGACAGGTGGCCTCCAGCACATCGCCCGGGACGCGAGGCTTGCCCATCCCTAAGAAAGACCCTGCAGGAAGTCCCAATCCCTGTTACTGTGCATACATCTTGTTGAAAAGGGAACCAAAGTCCCTAAAGGGAATGATGACAACCCAGGTGGATGATCCTCGAAATATGCCCTGATCGGTCCTGACGTAGCTGCTTGTGCACAGCTAACAGGAAGCTGTTGTTAGGCCTGTTACTTAAGCTCTGCTAATATTCAATCCACTCACTGGTTCCCCTTGAGCTGGGGAGGATGGAATGGACCGGGTCCTGCTATGTCTGCAAAGCACCTTCTGTGGAGCAGAGTCAGATGGGACCAGGCTCCTGCGCGTTCGCAGTGGCAAGGCGTCAACCAGTGGACCCAAGAGCGGTTGTCCGATGCATAGTAATTTGCAGCTGTGAACATATCTGCCCCAGGTGAATTCGAATTGCGTACATAGATCACAAACGCTGGATGTGTTACATAGGCTTCATGTCACCATTCGTTGTTCATTAACATAATTAGGTGCCGCGGCAAGTCTTGCAGGCCTATCGAGCTACTTCCAGGAGTCTCTCACAAAACCACGTTACCAACAGGCGCGTGCAGGAGACCGTCGTGCTGGGTTTACCTTAACTCGTTTTGTTGCGTTAGGACATGCCGACAAATGCGCTCTTGTGCATCAACATAACGAAAAGTATCCTGTCAGTAAAATCTCGGACGCGTACATACCGTAATGAAAAGACGGGAATCTGATTCTTAAGCTAAAATTACACCCTAGATAGATGCACCTGTTGTGATTATAATACTATGATTGGTGCAAGTACGGCGCGCCGAGCAAACGTTGGACGAGTGCACGAAGACAAGGCAGGGTACAAGGCAAAAGCTGCTGCCATTGCCGGGCCTACTTTGATTAACTCACTTGAATCTCCATTCCTCAAAGATCGCATATCTTCTATCCATTGGAGCTGCTTTACGCAAGGTTACTTTGTATTACCTTACCGGTTCCGCCCGACGGGAGCTCAGGTTCATTTTGTAAAGCACAAGAATTTATTGATTGTTTGCCCAGCTACACGCCATTACCTCTCGTCAATCCGTCAGAGTAGCCCTCCCGTCAGGCCCGTCGCGCGAAAGCTCGCCTCTTTTTCGATACACAGACAAACAATATTGCATGTAGGCTTTTACGTTATAGGCATATTTTGATGTCTGAAACGCTGAGCTTCTTGAGGTCGTGACACTTGTTTAGATACTGGAGGAAGTATTCAACTAGGCAAACAGCTGGCAGTACCCGGTAAGTACTGCTCTTTTGCCAGGAAGCAGCTTTGAGTTGCTTGCCGGGTTGCGATTTCTGAGGATTACGCATAATCCAACGGCAGAGCCCCGCGTAATCGTTCACACTCTAAGCTTAACGTGCAGAGTATATATATTCAATTGATGAAGTCTGTCAAGTCAGTTGGGATTAGCCGTTTTCGCACTTGGGTATCTGGTCGTTGCCGCCAACAGATACTGCTCTCGGTACCTCCATCCATGCTCTTCTTATCGTCCAAGTCATCAAATCTTTTGCCCTTCCTATGCTTACCACTTTCTCCCCTCCAGCTCTCATGGACGACCTCCACGAGTTCGACGGTTTGCTAGACTACCTTGCCGCCAGCTCCGACCAACGCCTACAGCAGCAACGCCTCGACACACCAACTCTTAGCCTCCCTGACACGCGGCTCCAGCAGCAGCAAGGCATGATGCCTGCCGGTATCATGCCGCTTCCTACAGCCCCACCCGGCGGCATGCAGACCGCACACGTTGGCGGCCTGCCGCACGGCTTGCCGGGCGTTGGCGGCCTCCTCCCAGGCGCCACCGCTGCCACCATGCCTGGTGCCACACCTGCTTTGGCCAATATGGCGCCCACCATGGCGCCCACGTCCACCCTCCTCCCCGGCATACCGCACCCCGCACAGCAGCTGCCCCAGTCGGCAGCCCTGGGCCTTGCAGGCATGCAGGCGCCGGCGGCGGCGGCCGGCGGCTCCGCTGGCGGGGGCCTCCTGGGCACCTCATTCGGGGCCGCTGCCATGCCAGGACTGGGCCACATGGGAACCCTGGGCGGGCTAGGAACTCTAGGCGGCTTGGGAAACATGGGCGCGTTGACGGGGGCTGGAGGGCTCAGCCATTTGGATGCATTGTTAGGCCTGCAAGGTGCCATTGGGCCGGGAGCCGCCGCCGGCTTGTTGTCACGTGGGTCTATCACCACCGCTGCCGGTGGCGGCGGCCTCGGCATGCCTGTCGGCATCGGTGTTGCGCCCGGAGTCGGCGGTGCAGCGGCGGCGGTCGCCGCCCTGCATGGCGGCTACGCCGGCGCATTTGGAACCCAGGGCGCTGCCGCCGCTGGCGCGGCGGCACAGCTGCCGAACGTTACC